CTACCTTTCTTCTTAACTAAATATATATAATATAGTAAAAGTAATATATATTAAAGATATAGCTAAGATATCTATATAAGAGGGGAGATAATTATAAGAGCGCTACTAAGAGGTATAAGCTAATAAAGTACTTAGGTATATAGTATTAATATATTAGTAGGGTATTAGTAAGGAATCGTACTTACTTTACTTATAAGTTATAAACTACTTACTACTTTAACTAAAGAAGAGAAATTCCTTTTCTTATAAGCTTTAGTCTTATAATAAAGAGAATATAATATATATAGCGTAGTACCTCTAGCTATCTCTACTACCTAGCTAATTATACTATAATATATATTCCCTTATAAAAGGGCCCTCCTTTAGTTTAGGCCGGGGTCCTAGGTTAAGTCTAAGCTAGGTCCTATTAATAAAGGGAATATACCCTTAGTTAGTAAGGGTAGGGAAGAGTTTTCTACTTATATAAAAGAGAACCTTACTTAATTCGTAATTTTTAATAGTATATTATATACCCGCTAATAGCTATATAAGGCTATACTTAAGGGGGCGTAATACGCTATTTATAATAGTTTCAGGTATATACTTTTTTTATATTTTAAGCTTAGTTTAGAAAAGTTAGCTAAGAGGATATAATAGTATTTTAACGTTTAAAAATCTATATAACTTTACTATAATTCTATATTAACGCGACTCCTACTTAAATACTATAAGGGACTAATAAGGACGTTAGTTAGTTCTTCTACCTTAAGTATTTATTATAGGATACCTTATAGTTAATAATCTAAGTACTTATAATAATATTTACTTCCCTTAAGAAAGTTACCCTTAACCTTTTAAGGCTCCTTATAAAAGAAGGAACTTAGAGGCTACTAAGTAAACTCTAAGAAATTACTTAGAAATCCTAGAAATAATAACTAAGCGGATTATATAAATATTTTATAAAGATTTCCCTTATAAATATATTATATAGGGAATATACTATAATTTCCTAAGTAATAATAGCTCCTTAAGGATTATATTAATATTCTCCTAAGAAGTTACTATAAGATTATAGTAGGGAAATTATAGAGAAATACCTATACTTACCTAAGGAAAATACTAAGAAATACCGCTAATATACTATATTACTATTATATAAGGTTAAGCTATTATTTAGTTAAAGCCTTAAGTAAGGTCTTATACTTATTATAGTATAAATAGAAGATAAAGAATATATTAGATCTTAAGCGGGTAAAAAAAAATATAGATAGTTATTACTACTCTTACTTTAACTTATAAGACTAATAGCTAGTCTATATTTAATACGTATAATAGTATATAATAGCTAGTCTATATAATACGTTTAATTATATATAGTAGCTAGTTTATTTAGTTACTTATTAAACCTATACTAGATCTAGGTAAATAGTAAGTTTAAAGTACTAGCCTTATACTAAGGGACTAGTAAATAATATCTAACCTAAGAGCCTTAAGCTATATTAGGCCCTATATATAGCTCTTTTACTTTCTTAAAAGCTTAGTAGTTACTATAAGACTTAATTATAACTTAGAAAAAAAGAAAGCTAGCTAGGAGCCCTTATAGGCCCTAGAGCTTAAGGCGTCTACTACGATAATAAAGGCCCTTAAGCCCTTAGCTAAAAAGTAGTATTAATACTTCTTAGCTAGCCTATCTAGCTTAAAAGACTTTAAACTACGGCCCCTAGCTTTTTATAGTAACGGCTTTAAAAGGTACCCTAAGGGGTCCCTTATAGAAGCTAACGCTTATTCTTTCTATAAAATAAGCTAAGAAAATAAGCCTATTAAAGTATATTATAAGAACCTAGGACTCTTAATTAAAGTAGCTAATATAAAGCTATTTACGATACTAAGAGACTTTTAAGAGGCCTTAACCCTTAAGGCCGAGCCCCTTTAACCCCCTTATAAAGGCTTATATCTTTATAAAAAGCTAAGCTACTATAAAGAAGTTTATAGGCTTCTTAGACCTAGCTATATATATTTAAAGGGTCTTAACTAGCCTAGAAGCCTTTTATAATATATAGCTATACTAATGCCCTAGCTACCTAAGGATCTTTAATAATAAGCTAGCTAACTAGCTAGCTAAGAAAGGCTTAAAGGCCCTTACCTAAGGGACCCCTTTAGTCTTTATTAGCTACTTATAAAGAAAGGTCTAGTACGCTACTAAGGACTATTAAAGGGGCCTCTAGGCTACCGAGGTAGCTAAAGGCCCTAGGGCTAAGGGCCTAGGTAAGTACTATATATTTATTTAAAAGACCCCCCGCTTAGCCCTTAGCTTAGAGATAACCTTATAAGGAGGCCTAGGCCGACCCTCTTAGCCTTTTACTAACTCCTCTTTAAGGCTAGCTTCTTATTTTACTTATTAAAAGGACTAATAAGGTAGACCGAGACAATTACTACTACGGCTAAGGAAGGTATACGGCTAGGCACCTTATCCTAAGGTGCCTAAACTATAGGAGGGAAAGAGAGGTCCTTTACTAGACCTTTAAGAGATAAAAGGGGGCCCTTAGCCTACCTCTTCTCTATAGCTCTAAGGAAGGAAGGGAAACCCTTTTAACCTTCTTAGCTAAGATAAAGATAGGGATAGCTAAGTAGCTCGAAAAGGAGTAACCTAGGGGCCCTAGGGCCCTTAGAGGGGAAAAACACTATATAGGAGGAACTAGATTAACCTTTCCTTTATCTTTGCCTTTATAGCTACCCTTTCCCTAATTAGTTATAAGCCCCCGTGCTCTATAGCTAGCTAGGACTGCTAATAGGGACCTAGGCCCCTATTAGCCTCGCTATGGGCCTAGAGGCTGCATGCGAGTAATAATATAAAAAAAACCCCCGTCGTAAATTTACTATAGCGTGGGCGGTAAGAAAGAGCCAGATCGTCGCTCGTGTCATGTTTCCCGCTAACGAGTATCTACTCAGACATGTCCAAGGGGGGACAATATGCGATGACAACTTACAACTTCCTCCATCACTCAGTCAACCTAGATCATACCGACCACGTCAGCCTAGTGAAATATGAGGACGGCCAACTAGAGGTTACCTTTTCTCTTTAGGAAGCGTATAAGTATGCGGTTTATACCTGGAATAGCGGCCTGATCCCCATCGCGTATACCAAGGGGTGCGGCGACTATGATAAGGGTGAACGTTGCTACTTCCATGCCTCAAACTTGAGCTTCAACTCTGATAGCAAGACTGTTGTTGCAACGGGCGAAGCTCGTCATCCCGACGATATCACCTCGGCTGGAGAGACAGAATGAGGCATGTCGTCTCCTAACGAGGGTTCCGGCACCACCGGGAACACTTTTGAATGGGGGCAGGCCAACGGCAGTGACCCCGCGCACTCTTTGTCAAGACGCGAGGAAGAGAGCTTTGATCCCAAGCGCAGCTGCGAACCCCCTGAAGACACCAAGTTCAAACTCCCTACGACCTGTTTGGACGAATGGTTCGATCAGGACCTGGATGACAAGCTTGGGTACGAGAATATGACTGAGGCCTACACAGGCTTTGTGGCAACTATCGACGAGGCAGAGGCCACGGACTAAGGTAACTCGATCGGCGACGACTAAGCCCGAAGAATGATTCGTTTCGATCGATTGAGCGAAGGGGTTTGTTCGGTTGGCTGCGCACAAAGGCACTCTAAATCTTGAAGCCAGTCTATAATGTCGTCAAAGACACATTTACAATCACGGCCAGCATAAACAAGGACCTCTCTTAGGAGTTTCCCTAGAAGGACGCCAAAGCCTTTGACTCTGACAAGCTAAAGGAGAAGAAAATCAAGCAGGTTAAGTTACCTTAGGGGGATTCCATTCTTCTTAAATATTTTAACTCCGAAAAGTCTAAAACTAAGGTTTACACGGACATTACGCAGGAGAATACAAAAAAGTCGTATATAAGCATTTATTGCGTTAGCTGTGGCGTCTCGGGCAGCGCGAGAGTCGGCGGCCGGGCTCGCTAGACCATCGAAGGCTTCGAGTAGGGCTTTATCGATATCTGGGCTAACATGCGAATTGCCATGAAACTCGGCATCGACGCCTAAATCTCGTATAAGACGGACTTTACCTAAACCCTCTTCGATATTGGGCTGCTAGGGCTAAGATATAGAGTCGTCACTATCGGACCTCGGGTATCCGTTGCTTCTAAGGTTGGTCTCGAGGCCGCAGTAAACGGCAAGCTACTAGCCGGTGCTAAGATAGGCATCGAGAATGCCCACGTAAGAATCGACTTTATTAAGTAGGGCCCGGCCACTTAGAGCGGCTAGAAGCCCTATTTTAAGCCGACTTTTATAGCCAGCGGCGAGATTGCCGTCTCTTCATCGCTAGGTTTCCCTATTAGCCTAGCTTATGGCATCAAAGCTGGCAAATGGGACAAGTCCGTTAGCATCATCAGCGAGCCCTCCATCAAGATAGGCGCGTAAGTTGCTGCCTCGCTTGGCCTAAACTCGATCGGAAAGCTGGCAGGCACGTGGTCAGGCGACATTGAAGAAACAGAAGGCTGCAAAGGCATCAACACAGTACTGAGCTGGCGCAACGAGATCAAGGTCAATGTCGTCGATCATGCAGAATTCACCTTGTTCGATATAGAGGATCAGAAAATAAAGTCGGGCTACATCGGGTAAGTACTCACCAGTATTTCAATGTTTCTTCCACATCAGCTAACGGACAACAAAAAATAGGGTGCCAACTGGCGCGCCTCCGAAGACACCGGGAACCAAGCCGAGCGGGAAAGAATCTCCAAAGCCAGATGCCGCCAAGCCTTCGGCAGCGAAGCCGCCGACAACCAGGTCATCAGGGGCTGCACAGAAACCTGACCGTGAACAATGGAGTAAATTTCTCCAAAGAGGCTTGAACCGAGACGAAGCCAATAGGTGTGTCCGAAGCAAGGTTAATACTTATAAGGGAGCCAAGGCATGGCAGAAACGTCTAACCCAATTCACCCTCCAATATTATATGGAACAATTTTCGGCGTGGCAGTCACAACAAAAAAGGGACGTCATGGTCGTTGAGCGTCGGCAAGACAACGAGACTGCCGAGGCAGTCGCCGACATGACGGAGGGCGTTCATGGTGGCGAACCCAACATGATTACTTATGAGCTTGAGACAGTCGAGATTCACGAGTACGTCGAGGACAAGCCGGACGCACCCGTCTTCAATACCCTCAAGGACCCAGACGACACGACCATGGTTATTTCCTGCAGCGACGGGAACATATACGCTGTCCTGGCCAACAGCGGTCATAACGATGCCTGCTCTAAGATATAGGGGGCTCGAAGCAACGTCCTTATCGCTGATGGCTCAGCGAAAATGATGCACTACTACAGCGCGATAATATCGGCGGCCGGCGTTTCTCGTCTACGAGTTGCAGACTCGCATAAGACGCCCAAATCGAGCGTTCCCGTCCTCCTCACTCTGTACGAGAGCCCCGAGAATCAGCAAGAACAGTTTTACGTGGCTGTCGACAGCCAAGAGGAGGCCTTCTATCCCCTGGTGTGTGACTATAAGGACGACCGAATCGGGTCCAAGGTCTTCCTGGCAAAGGATCCCGTACAGGGCGTCGAGACTCTTCAAAGCCCAGACGTGGAGCACTCAGTCACGGGCGGGAAGGTAGCAGAATGCTTCCCACTGGTGCTGGGTAAAGCAAAGCGAGACGACAAGGGCTACCTGATCCCCGATGAGAGCGAACAAGTCTTGCTCGAAACTGATGCTCGAGAGTGAGGGTTTTGCTAGGGAGGCCGCATTCCGAAGTGGGGAGAATCCTGGTATAGACTATAGAGGGAGAGGAGGAGACAAATGGAGGGGAACAGAGTAGGCTATGGAAGAAATTTAGAGACTTTCAGCGGATTGGACATTCTCGCGCAACTATGGCCGTGTGTGATGGACAAGCCTTTGCCACCACCCATGTCTTATCGTTTAGGGGCGAGCTCACGCTCGGAGTCATCCACACAGTACGAAGTATCGCCGATTCGCCGTTTTCTTTGAATCTTTACCAGGTATATGTACCTTTTCGTCGGAGGCGAGGCAGAGCCGAGAATGGTATCAAGTATTCCGTTGCCGGTCAAGCCGGCGCTCTGTACTAGGCCCTGGCCCGGCATTTCGGATCCGGAACCCTTCCGCCTTCCGCCATCCGACTTCCGCTGCCGGCCTCCGCCAACCGCAACCCCCCCACTCCCCAGCAGACAATTGTCTCCCCCGTGATTAAGATCTCGTCATCCCGATCTGCCCATTCCCCACACCTCCTCCCGGTTCCCGCCTCCTGCCCGGCCCAGTTACCGAGTTTCGATTTTCGTGCATCACCTGGACGCGTGAAAACGGGTCCTCTACAGCTTAGCCGCTTCGGATGATGAACTCGAGGCTTGTGCCGACCGCGGATGGATGCGACATGAGCCAAAGGGGCCGAGCATTGGTAGTGCCCTGTTGCACGTGCTTGTTTGTTTGTACGTAGTGTCAAGGGGCGTGTGATTTCATCTAGAGGCGAGCAAGGCAGATGGATTCCAGAGCGTCAAAAGGGGGCCACACACTGAGACGGGCCCCTTTTTACCATTCGCTTCATCTTCCCACCTTCCCTTTTGTCATCCCAACTTGATACTAGACGAAGTTGGCAATCTGGGTTTATACCTTTCTCCAAACCTTCTCGGCTCCGAATCCTCCGTCTGTGTAGGCGCACTGATCCCCAGACCTGGGCCACTCGCGCAACGACCTACAAAGCCGACCTCGTTTGTCTTTATTTGCAAGCGAGTTATCTGGACCTCACCAAATACCCAGAGCGACATCATGTCGCCCCATGCTGTCCCCGTCGAGTCACACGATGGTAAGCCGCCGATCGACCTGGCCGAGTTTGCCGTCACAAAGAACGCCTTCCTGCCCGAGCGTGAGCCGTCCAAGAGGCTCGCAGACGCCTACTACGAGCCCTGGGAAAACATTGTCGCGCAGCTACCCACGCTCATCCAAAATGGCGGCTTGGGCCAGTCCATTGCAAATCTCCCTGTTCTATCAACCGCCCATCTCGGGACCGAAGCGGAATGGCGAAGAGCGTATTCAATGCTGGCATTTATGACACATGCGCACGTCTGGGGTCGCGAAGCGCCAGATGAGGTAAATAGCACCCCATTGCTCTTCAATTAATTCGTCACTCGTCTGGGGAAGAGTTGGCTGACATTCTTGCCTCTTCAAGATTTTGCCGCCGCAACTGACCCTCCCCTTTCTCCGCGTCTCGGAGCATCTCGAGTTGCCGCCGGTTCTCACCTATGCTGGCGCCAACCTCTGGAACTTTTCCTGCGCAGGGCACGATTTTTCTCAAATAGAAGACCTTAGCACAATGTTTTCCTTCACCGGCACCGAGTCGGAGTCATGGTTCTTGCTCATTAGCGTCGCCATGGAAGCCAAGGCCGCCGGCATCCTGCACACTATGATGGACGCCCTCTGGGCCGTCAAAACGCGCGACTACCAGGTCATCATCGAAGCTCTCGACGACCTGCGACGCTGCATCCAAGACGTCAGCGCCCTGCTGGAGAGGATGTATGAGAGATGCGACCCCATGACCTTTTACCACGAAATCCGGCCGTTCCTGGCCGGCAGCAAAAATATGGAGGCGGCGGGGCTGCCGCGTGGCGTCTTTTACGATGAGGGCAACGGCAAGGGTGTCTGGCGGCAGCTGAGAGGTGGAAGCAACGGGCAGAGCTCGCTCATCCAGTTCTTCGACGTCGTCCTCGGCGTCGAGCACCACAGCCACGGCAGCGCGGGCCAGGCGAGCTATCACTCCGAGGTGCGTGAGTACATGCCGGGCCCGCACCGGCGGTTCCTCGTGCATGCCGCGCGCATGGGAAGTATCCGTGAGCTGGCCATGGCGCCGCCGATTACAGATGCACAGCGCCGTCTGCGCGACGTCTATGTGGCCGCGACGCAGGCGCTGAGCAGCTTCCGCGACAAGCACATTCAGATTGTAACGCGGTACATTATCCTACCTTCAAAGCATAGGAATCTTAGTGCCGCTGTCACGACAACAAGGAGGCGGCAGAACTTGGCCAGCTCTTCGTCGTCGCAAAAGGCTGACGAGGAGTTGACCGGCACGGGCGGGACCAGGCTGGTGCCCTTTTTGAAGGCGGCGCGGGACGAGACCTGTCACGCGGGCAAACTGGAGCGGTCGCAGTGAGGATCCCGCCAGATGGAGCTGCCAGCTGGTCCTTGAAGCGGATGTGATCTTTGTGTTGAATTTCGGTTCGGCGAGTTGGCGTCGTCTTGGGGTTTTGTTGGCTTGAAGACAAGCGGAGGGCAGAGTGGAGCCCGACTTCTCTAGAGAGGCGCAATCAGCAAGCAGTTGATTCGCGAAGACGACGAAATGTATAAAGTCCATGGAGAGGAGATCAGTCCCAGCCGTTATATGCTCCGTTACCTAGACTGCCTGTGATGGACGTTGGTGGTTGGATGGAGCCCGCAAGAGGGGATGGGGTCGCGGATGACTCATCGGAAGCCTCTCGGGCTGTCCTCTCCTTTCTCTCGCCCTCCGTACTGTGGCAAGCATATCACGACCATATCCACGGAGGGTCAGCGCGCCGCCATTGCGGCCCAATTTATCCGCCGCCCCTTACGCAGAGTAGGCCAATATGGAGCTTACTGAATTCCCTGACGATTGCCTTCCTCCTGAGGGTCAATTCGACTCGCGAGAGTCCTTCTTGTCTCAATTAATGCGTGGGCAGCTCCAAGAGGCTATGCCTTCACCACAGGCAAGTCCACGAGAGACCCGCGGTCCGGAAGACGCACAGTCACATTTGCCTGTGATCGTGGAGGTAGACCAGGGGCTCATACAAGCAAGGACCAGAAGCCAGCTGAACGGCAACGGTCTACAAGCTCCCGTATCACTGGATGCCAGTTTTCCATCAATGCGAAAGAGAGCCTTGATAAGTCGTACTGGTATATCAGGCATCGCCCAGGCGAGGAGAAGTCGGTCCACAACCATGAGCCCAGTCTGCACATTACAGCACATCCAGCTCATCGTGCCTCTCCTCAACTGACCAGTCAGCTATTGGGAACCTCGCAAGCGCCGGCATAGCACCAAAGGATATCCGGACATATATGCGCCAGAGCTCTCAGACTGCTCAAGGAGCGACACAGCAAGACATATATAACTGTATCGCACAGCGCAGACGAGAGCTTCTTGCTGGGCAGAGCACAATGCATGCCCTTGCCAATGAGCTTGACAACGAGGGGTTCCAAACCCGCATACAGCTTGACCATGACGGCCGAGTCACAGCGGTCTTATTCGCACACCCGGCGTCACTAGAATACCTCAACGCATACCCAGAATTACTACTTCTAGACTGCACATACAAGACGAACAAATATAAGATGCCACTGCTCGATATGATCGGCGTTGATGCCTGCCAACGGTCATTCTGTATTGCCTTTGCCTTTCTCAGTGGTGAAGATGAAGATGACTACATCTGGGCACTGGACCAACTCCAATCGATATACGAGTTATATGACATTCGCCAGCCATCCGTTATCCTTACAGATCGTTGCCTTGCCTGCATGAACGCAATTTCCCGGTGCTTTCCTGCGTCAAGGTCTCTGCTCTGCATCTGGCATGCGAACAAGGCGGTGCTTAGCTATTGCAAACCAGCATTCGACCGTGAGGATGAGAACTCTAACAGTGATGAGAAATGGGTTGAGTTCTTTGGGTATTGGCACTCAATCGTGAGCTCGAGAGATGAGGAGACATTCGATCAACAAGTTGAAGAGCTGGAGAAGCGCTTTGTACCACGATACGTCAAGGAGGTTAGCTACATACGGGAAACCTGGTTGGACCCGTATAAGGAAAAGCTCGTCAAGGCCTGGGTTGATCAATATGCTCATTTCGGCAATGTGGCTACTTCCCGGGTGGAAGGCATCCACGCATTATTGAAGAGCCACCTTAAGAAGTCAACACTAGACCTCTTCGAAGCAACGAGGGCAATCAAGCAAGCTCTTCTCAACCAACTGGCCGAGCTACAAGCCAACCAAGCCAGGCAGCATATACGGATGCCAATTGAGCTCTCTGGAACCGTATATAGCACGGTACGTGGCTGGGTATCACACGAAGCCTTGCGACAGGTTGCAAAGCAACACAAGCGCCTCAACGAGAAAGACATCCCTGCTTGCACAGGCAGCTTCACCAAGTCTCACGGTCTCCTTGTGCGCACACATTACAGCCGCTCATAGAGGAAGATCTGCCACTCCGGCCACAACATTTTCATACGCATTGGCGCCTTCGACGGGATACCAAAGAGATTGGTCAGGTCCTCAGAGCCTCGTCGGCGATTGGACCAACTTGTCGCCACATCGAGGATAACACAGTCATCCACACAGCGCGAGCCAAGTGCATTTGAAGCCATAGAGCCAGTTCTACGGCCAAAGGCGCCACCTACATGCAGCAAATGCCACCAGAAAGGGCACATCATGACATCTCGCAATTGTCCTTTACGCTATAGCGACATACTGCAGCGGGCAGAGGCACGGGCGGCAGAGACTGCAGAGACGGCAGCAATTGCAGCGACTGCACAGACTGCACAGACTGCACAAGCAGTAGCAATTTCAGAGACTGCACAGACTGCAGCAGTCATGGAGACAATCACGGTTGCAGTCACTACAGTCTCTACGGTGTCTACAATTGCTGCAGTCTCGACAGGAATTGCAGAAGCTACAGAGACTACGGAGAATCTACGATATGATGACCCACGAGCCATCTATCAGAGGTATGTCAGGGCAAGAGACTCTTGGTATAGAGCACAGCCTCGCGGCAATCTCAAGACCAACCAGGCATACCGAAAGGCAATGGGCTTGCCATTGCGCTACAGCAAGACTGAATATGACTGGTGCCTCGACTGGAAGCAAATGTCAAGGAGCTGCGGCTCGAGGAAATGGACCAAGGAAGAGATGATGGCATACCTTGATTGGGATAAGGCAGAAGAAGAGCGGTTAGATGCCCGGGTGGCCGAGGAAATGCAAGCGCAGCCTTTCTCACGAGAAAGAGGTACTGCAGGTATATGGGCTGACTGAGAGAGACTCGGAGGAACAGCAGGCAAACTATTCCCGCATATAAGTCGTCTGCTAGGACCGGTCTGTATAAGTGCGCCACAGTTGGAAACCACAGCAATTCTAGATTAAAAAAAATTTGAGTCGATTGACACTCAAATTGACGCTGTGGCCGTTGAGTACTTTTGCCGATGTGCGGGGAGATATGTGCAGTAAAACTGGCGCGCCAGCGCGGTCGCGGCGGGCGCTGTTCGCGGCGCCCCCAAAGGCCCGCCGGGCTTACATAACAAGCGCGGGCGGCCGCGCCGGCCTTTAAAGCGCGGACCCCCGCCTCTATTGGCCCCTCTCGGGCTTGGTGTCTTGGTGTAGTGCTTAGTCATGCTCGGCGGTCCAGCCTTCTCCGCTCTCAACCATCCTCCTTCACTCTGACAAGATGTGCAAGATGTGTCCAACTCAACCCAAGCTCCAGCGACTGCCTCCTAAAGACACCGATCCCAGGCTTTTGCGCATAATTTCCTCTGGAACGAGCTTCCATGGCTATTTCATCGACGGCTTGCAATTCCTTGCACGCATCCCATCAAGGGCAGGTCAAGTCTCCTTGCTCGTGAATCTGGCTTCGTGCTGGGAGCCAACTTCTGCCAGACTGTGCCGTGCCATTAAATCCATCACGACCGTCGGGTGAACTGGGTCAAAGAATATCTTTTCCAAACTCAGGTGTACGTCATGACCAAAAGAGAGACAAGGCCCCGCGCATGCAGGCAACAGGAACCCCCGGCGGACAGCCATCCACGGAGTACCTCACCGTCCCGTGGTCCATCCTTCTCCAGGCTGCATATTGCCTGAGTCGCGGAATCGACTTCTAGCCAGAATTTTCAAGGTCCCCTGACTTCATTTGTTCAATGTACGCCTTTGCCCAGGCCACTGGGAGGTCGTCAGCAACATGGACCACGCGGCCACGGCATTCGTGCCGAGCCCAAGCCACTTACTCCGGGCACTTCCTTTGGCCTTTGTGCTCATGTGCCATGTATTTCCGTTTCCATCCTCACAGTGGTTGCAGCAAAGACAGAACTCAAAGCTTCCCGGCAAGGGCGACAGCTCTGGTGTCGGCAGCCCTGTGGGTGATGCCTCCCTCCGCAGATGCTCCATCTCCTTGAACATCTCAATCGGGGAGATCTCATCAGGCATCGAGGCTGCTGTTCCCCAGGATCCGATCTCACAGAGGACGCTTTGACCGTGGTCGCCCAGCGAAGTGGCCAAGGAGGATGAAGTGGGGGGATGAGGCACATGTGTCCCCTCGTCGAACGACCGATTAGGGGCAAACGCGCTGTCTTTCGACGAGCCATACGCCGCTTCGCGGCTCCAGCGCGAAGAACCGGGTTCGAACAGAGTAAAATCGGTCCAACAGGGGCCCAGAAGCACTTGTGAGGGGCGTTTTCCACGGCTGGGCTGACCGTCATCGTTGCCGCTCTGGTGTCCACGAAACGCCGGCTCTCTTTCTGCGCGAGATCCCTCATGGTCGGACTCTGGCTTGCGCAGGGGGCCGGGTGTGCAGGCGAGTGACAGCTCTGGCCTCCCCGCCTCGGTGTCTCTCTTGGTAGGTCTGGCTCTCCCGGGGGGCCCAAGTGCGTCATCTTCGAGTCCCTGAGAATACCCACGAACGCGCATGTCGTTATCCATGGTGTCTGGCAAAGTTCAGTGTCATTTCAATGCATATATTTGTCGCAGCCTGCTTACGAACGATCTGATCAGCCAGAAAGAATGTCAGATGACGATGTGGCAAGCTTCAATCTGTCTGATGGTTGTTGAAGATCAGGGAGGGCCCAAGTCTAGTGGCTTGTGGCTGGTCGAATGATCTGCGGTCTTTCTTACAGAGAGTAGAGAGGGAAGATGAAAGGAAGAAAACGAGAAGGAGGAGGAGGAGGGGGAGGGGGAGGGCCGACCCTATGGGACAAGCTCCGAAGAGCGGCAGCCACGAGAGCCCCCCCGGTCTCGACCAATTAGCGCCCTTCGTCGTCAACCGTCCCATGAAGCGAACTGCCTCGGCGTCATCCCTTGTACCCCAGCTTAGTTCGTCCATGGTCGAAGTGGTCGGAGAAGAGATTTGAGCGCCCCGCCCCCGAATGGGTTCAGTCGTTGCCCCATTCCCCCTCATCTGGATGCTGTTCGACCATCTCATGGTCTCGGGTACAAAGTATCCTCATCGCTCAGGGGGTTGTGATGCTGTCATTAAGCGATGGCATCATTGCATATCCGTTTGGCTTGCTCTCCTCGCAGTGATGCCGCCTAGGAGTGGACCGCAGGAGCTACGTAGCGAATCGGTGATATATGCCATTGCCCGGACAAAGCCGGGAATTCGGATGTCTGCGCAGAGACGAGCGTCCCGGGGGCTCATGCGTCGGTCTTTCCCTGGTACAGGCTCTCGAGCAAGCCGGTGTCGGTTGTAGAGATGTCACAGATGCGCGATGAGCATGGATGTGACTGCTGAATGAGATATGTGGCCGCCATCTTCCCTCACGGTCCGGTAGGAGGACTGGCATGGCAGGCAGACTCGGGGTAAAGCGCGTCGCTGCACGTCTGGGAGCAACGCCCGTGCGATGATAGCGGCCGTCGGGTGCCCTCTACGCTATTCAGGTAAATGGGGGGGAGCGGAGTGACAAGAGAGGGAACCTCGGTGCATGGCATCTACTTACAGCTTGCAGTACAAGCTGGTGTAGGTTACAAAGGGCCGCCAGAGCCATCTTTGGCAACCAAGCACTCTGTCGCCAAGGCGGATGGAAGGAGACTGGCCAGTGTCTAGCATCATGCCGGCCTGTAGTAGGCCTTGGGTTGGCCGGAGCGGTGGCCAAGGTGGCCAAGCTCGGGGTGGTGCCTGTCGGAGTAGTAAAGCATAGACGGCGGAGACAGATTCAAGGCGAATGCCTATGGTTGCGGGGTGGAGGAAGATGGCCGCCAGCAGCTGTTGCTTGTTGAGCGAGCGCTCTTGGCCTCGGTCTCGTCGGTAGACGATTCAATCCAAGGCACTCGCTGGGGGAAAAGTTGTCGGCGCAGCGCCCAGTTTGTGTCCAGATATGCTGTCGATTGGTTCGATCCATGACTAAAGTATCCAATCATGGCCACTCGCATACACGGAGGAGGGCTATGATGATGATGAACCGCCTCAGGCTCCAGGACCGACGTGCGGGCCAAGGTTGGATGCGAGGATGGCAAGCCAGAGGCTGAGTTCATGGCGGGAACCATGGAACTGTTCTCGGACTTGAGCCTCCAGGTATTAGCCGACGGTATTCTTATAAGTTGAAGAGAATATCACACGTCGGGGCGCAAAACAGCCTACAGTGCCTGCCTCGATGTAGTCGAGGAGCCGTGTAATACAGGTCGCGGCTTAGACGGCAATTGCCGGCTCAGTGGACCAGACACGCGCCGAGACGCGACGGGCCGTAAAGGAACCAGCTGTAATTATTATGTATGTAATTACCGAGTGCTCTACAGTGGGTCGCTGTGCAGTAACTTAGCGTCAAGGCCCGTCTCTCACCCGGGCAACGTCCAATCCGACTCATCGCTCACCGTCAGACTTCTCCATCGGATACAGACCGAGCAGAGGGCAATGGCGGGCGCACGCAAGCGCGGTGCTACGGCTCCTGCGGCCGATGCTGGATTCGACGAGCCAGCGCCCAAGCGACGATCCTCTCGACAGGCTGCTGCTGCTGCTGCCGCCGCCGCCCCGGAACAGTCGGTGGATGCGCCGCCTCGGCAGGACACGAGGAAGCCTGCAGAAGCCAAGACGGGGAAACGCGAGGCTAGGAGGGCCAGCCAAGGCAATGCGCGCGGGCGAGGCGTAAGGCCCAAGCGGGATCATGATGCGCCGGCTGCGAAGAAGAACAAGGCCACGCCGGCCACGACGAGTAGAAGCAACAGCACCAGTCAATCCAGGACAAAGCCGGAGCGGTCGAGCGACGACCCCAAGCCGGCAGAAGCGCGCCGTTCCGACGACGGCGACGACATCTCGGCCGTCAACCCCGAGGCGCCGCGGCACGATGGCGAGTGGTACTGGCTCATGAAGGCGGAACCCGAGACGCGCCTCGAAAACGGCGTCGACGTCAGCTTCTCCATCGACGACCTGCGCGCCAAGACGAAGCCCGAGGGCTGGGACGGTAAGCTGCAGCTTCTCCGTCTTCCTACCGTTGGGCTTCTGTCTTTGCTCACTTGTTCACTCGTCTTTTCCCTTTTCTTGCTCCTACATGCGAGGACACTTCCGTCTTCCATGTGCATCTTGCTGACGAGCTGCTTCTGTGCAATTCATGACTAGGTATTAGAGCATATGCAGGTGCGTGTGAGATGAGAACCACCCAGTTCAGGTTAGGGAGCTAACACGTGTCGCTGCTCCTCGCCACAGCCCGAAACCACATGCGCACCATGAACGTCGGCGACAAGGCCTTTTTCTACCACTCCAACTGCAAGGATCCCGGCATCGCCGGCGTCATGGAAATTGTCAAGGAGTTCTCCCCAGACCGTACGTCCAAGGTCTCCTCACTCACCCCCGTCCTCGGAGCCCCCCGTTTGAGAGGAATGCAAGTTGAAGGTCTCAAATCTGACAGAAAGCGCCCTCATCCCGGGCGCGCCCTACTACGACCCGTCGTCGACCAAGGAGAACCCCCGGTGGAGCCTGGTGCACGTCAAGTTCCGCCGCAAGTTCGCCGTGCCCATCTCTCTGCGCGAGCTGCGCGAGCTGGGGAAGTCCGGCGGCGCGCTCGAGGGCATGCAGATGCTCAAGCAGTTGCGGTTGAGCGTGAGCCGCGTCTCCTCGGGCGAGTGGGCGGTGCTATGCCGCCTTGCCGACGACAAGGCTGCCGAGGCGGGCTTGGAGCACGATGAAGGGCGAGAACCGGGGAAGTGAGGGACTATACCCTCGTGTTGATGTTAAGTTGAGAGTTGATCATCATCTATCACAACCATGTCCCCCATACGTGTATTGATAAATTCGAAGATCGTCTTTGCATGTTCCAGTCCAGCAGTGGCTACCGCTGGCGCCCACCATAATAATGAGCAATCTGCCGTTTGTGCGTGACTCTTATGGCGATAAACACCCGGCATCACTGAGCCCCCATAGTCAAAGGGCACCTCTTGAAGTAATAAATATACGGACATTCGCACATGCCCGAGTCATCGACGGTGAAAAGAAGCCAAGGACCTTGAGCCTAAATTTTATCGACTCAAAGACTCCAAAGTTATCCCAAGCTTTATAAAAATTTGCCTGAGGGTTACGGCATTCCCTCTGTATACTCGCGCAGCAGATTTCAGTTTGGCATCTTGCGGAGGCACCTGCGCATCGACAAGGCCACGCCACTTCTGCTTGGTTAGGCTCGAGGCTTCACTCACTCCTAGACTGTCTCCCCACTATACCGTTTATCTGGATGCCGGGTGCCTAGGTGATGCCGCACTTTTATCAGGGGTCTGCCCGTGCTGGCTTTGGCAGAGAAGTTCGTCTGCCCGGGGTGAGCATGTCCGGTCGCTCGCCGCGCTGCAGCTTTGCTTCTGTGGCTGACTTTCCGGCTCTGGAGAGGAAAGCTGACTCCGGCAGCGCCCCTACGGCTGTGATGTTTTTTTATATCATTACTCGCATGCAGCCTCTAGGGCCATGGCGAGGCTAGCAGGGGCCTAGGCCCCTATTAGTAGTCCTAGCTAGCTATAGAGCCTAGGGACTTATAACTAATTAGGGAAAGGGTAGCTATAAAGGTAATAATAAAGGAAAGGTTAGTCTAGTTCCTCCCGCACGGTGATTTTCCCCCCTAAGGGCCCTAGGGCCCCTAGGTTACTCCTTTTCGAGCTACTTAACTATCCCTATCTCTATTTTAGCTAAGAAGGTTAAAAGGGCTTCCCTTTATTCCTTAGAGCTATAGAGAATAGGTAGGCTAAGGGCCCCCTTTTATCTCTTAGAGGTCTAGTAAAGGACCTCTTTTTCCCTCCTATAGTTTAGGTACTTTAGGATAAGGTGCCTAGCTATATGCCTTCCTTAGCTATAGCGGTAGTCGTCTCGGTCTACCTTATTAGTCCTTTTTAATAAGGAAAATAAAAAGCTAGCCTTAAAAAGGAACTAGTAAAAAGCTAAGAGGGTTAGCCTAGGCCTCTTTATAAGGTCCTTTTCCTAGCTAAGGGCTAGGTAAGGGGTCTTTTAAATAGATATATAGTACTTACTTAGGCCCTTAGCCCTAAGGCCTTTAACCGCCTTAGTAGCCTAGAGTCCCTTTTAATAGTCCTTAGTAGCTTACTAGACCTTTCTTTATAAGTAGCTAATAAAAGCCAAGGAGGTCTCTTAGGTAAGGGCTATTAAGCCTCTTTTAGCTAGCTAGTTAGCTAGCTTATTATAAAAAATCCTTAGGTAGCTAGGATACTAATATAGCTATATATTATAAAAGGCTTTTAAGCTAGATAGGAGCCTTTTAATATATATAGCTAGGTCTAAGAAACCTATAACCTTTCTTATAGCGGCTTAGCTATCTATAAAGATATAGGTATTTATAAGGGGGTTAAGAGGGCTAAGCCTTAATAGCCGAGGCCTCTTAGCTAGGTCTTTTAAGACCCTTAGTATCGTAAATAGCTCTATATTAGCTACTTTAATTAAGGGCTCTAGGTTCTTATAGTACGCCTTAATAGGCCTATTTTCTAGGCTTATTTTATAGAAGGAGTAAGCGTTAGTCTTTATAAGGGACCCCTTAAAGCACCCCTTAAAGCTATTAGTATAAAAGGCTAAGGGCCGTAACCTAAAGTCTTTTAGGCTAGCTAAGCTAGCTAAGAGGTATTAGTACTACTTCTTAGCTAAGGGCTTAGGGGCCTTTATTATTATAATAAAGGCCTTAAGCTCTAAAGCCTATAAGAGCTCCTAGCTAGCTTTCCTTCTTTCTAAGTTATAGTTAGGTCCTATAAGAGCTAATAAGCTTTTAAGGAGGTAGAAGAGCTATATATATAGCTTAATATAGCTTAAGGCCCTTAAGTAAGAGCCTAAGTTAGTAAGGTTATCTTATATAGCTAGGTTATAAGCTTACTTTATAAGGTAACTAGGTAAGAAGTATAGGGTCTAGACGGCGTAGGAGAGGTATACCCTTTTAAATTATACCTTTAGTAGCGGTAGGGCCGCTTTAGCTTTTAAAGCCTTAATAAGAGATCCTTTAAAGGCCCTTAAGACCTTTAAAAGAGCTTAGTTTTAAAGCTTTTAAAAAGACTTTATAAGGCTCTTAAGGGTCTTAGGCCCTATATATAAAGGCTAGGCCCTATAGTTTACTATAGAAGTTATATAGGCTTAGTAAAGCTATTTAAAGGCTCTAAATAATAAGCCTTTTTATATAAAGGTTAAGTAGGATAGTCCTTTAAAAGCAGCTTATATAAAGGCTACCTATAAAAGCTTTTACCTTATATAGGCCTAGACTAAGGTCTAAGCTAAGTTTATATATAAGTAGCCTTTAAGCTTATATAAGCTATACTTATACTTCTTTTCCTTTTCCCTTTTATAGATTATTAACCTTCTTTTAATAGACTATACCTAAGCCTATACCTTTACTTACTTTATAATAGTATAATCTACCTTTTATTTTACCTTCTTTATATCCTTATATATAGAATAGCTATTTTTAGCTACTTTTAAAGCTAAAGTTTAATTACCTAGTTAAGCTAAACCGCCCGCGTAAGTATATATATATATAAAAATATTTATACTCTTATAGTTATAAAATTAAAGTAAATATAATTCTTATAAAGAGAGATATAAGAAGTATATATAAAATATATAAAGGTAAAATTAAAAGTAAGGGGTCGGATAGGTAGGGAAGAGATATTTAATTCTTATAAGGGTAGTAATTATAATAAGGGAGTAATTTTTATATTACCTTAATTCTCCTTCTTTCCTCTATCTATCGCCCTTTTTTATACCTATTTAGTATCTTAATTAATTAAGAAGATCCTACTTAAAGAAGCTACTAATGTCCTTTTAACTACTAAGCTTTTTACTAGTTTTTCCCCTTTTTTCTAGCCGTTACTAGTATATCCGTCTTATCTCTTACTACCTCTATAAGAAGCTATCCTTACTTTTACTTCCCTTCTTACCCCTACCCTCCTCTTTATACCTCTTTTTAGCTCCTTCTTTAAAACCTGTTTTTTAGCTTCTTAGGTCCCTTATACTAAAGGATATCTCTAAGAACTACGAAATTAAGCTACGCTTCGCGATAATAATACTTAGTTCGCTTAGGTAATTAATAGCCTCTTATAATAATAAGGCTCTATATAACTAAGAGCAGTACTACTATACCTTAGTAATTTTAATAGCTCCTTTATAGAGCTCGAGCTATAGCTACTTTATATAAAAGTAAAGCTCTATATTAATAGCGCTATAATAAAGGATATTTATACTTAATCTAACTATCTTTATATAGGCCTATCCCTATACTTATAAAGATATCTCTTACTATTTATATATATTAATATAAATAAACTAGCCGACCTCCTTATAAAGCTTTATACTAACTACGGCGAACCTAATATAGCTAAGTTAATAGGCTAAGAGCTTATAACGCTCTATTAAAAGTAAAGTAAAGCTATTCCGGCCTACCTTATATAGTTTAAAGAGGTATTTTATTAAGTAAATATATATAGCTAGCTTAATATAGTAAAGTATAATTACCTTATTATAAGCTTAAATATAAATTAATATACCCGTTTAAGTAAAAGGTCTATACTATTAAATATATATACTAATCTTATCTACCTTCTTTGCTAACTTAGTAGTAATAAGTTCTTTTTTTATCTTCTTTTATAGTATAAGAAGAAGATAACGCTAGTAATACTATAGATATTTCTATGTCCGCCTTAAGGATAAAGGAGAAAACGAGGTAGTAATAAGAAGGTCGCTATATATACTATAGTAGTAAATCCTATTAGTTTTTAAAGTGCCCGCGCTAGGAGGCGCGGGTAAATATACTCTAAGTAGTAAAGGGGTATATATACTAAGATAGAAAGGAGGTTAGGTTTAATAATAGCGACTTTAGTAATAAGTAATCCTAGTAATATACCCTCGTAGTATAGTAGTTATATACCTAGGAGGCCTACTAGCTATAATACTAGAGTCGGTTTAAATCTAGCTAAAGGCATAATTAATTTTTAGTTAGACTAATAGACTATACTAACCTACTTATTAATTAGCTAATTAGCGCTTTTAAAAGCGCTTATAAATATACTAGTAGTCTAGCCCCGCTATAAGTAGGCCGGCCTAGACCTTACTTACTTAAACCTAGCGATAAATTTATTAGTACCTCCCCTTAACCCTAGTCTAGACCCCTTAACTAGGAAAATAAAAACCTAAGGCCGATACTAGTAACTTAATAAGTATAGCGCGAAGCTAGTACGATAACCTAACTACTAGCCCGGCTAAAGGCCGCTATTAATAAAAAAATAGCTTACTAAGCCTTATAGCGGAAAAAAAGGTAGAGCCTAGAAAGATATTATTATAAGATAAGGTTTAAGATAATTATATAATTAACTATTAACTAAAAACGCTCGTACTACCGATTAATACTATATACCCTATATATATAAAGGAGTTACTTTTAAAGGTTACTTTATAGTAATACTAATATAATTCCGACTAACTATAATAATACTTAATATAGCTAGCGTAAGATTCTTATATATTATAACCGCGACTTAGTATAAGGGCGGACTAGCTATAAAAGAGGGGAGGGTTTTCCTTTAAGTACTTTAGTTTTTCCGTCTTATTTAACGCTAAAGTTCTAAATACCTTTAGATAGGTTACTAGTATAATCTTAATTAATCTTAGTAATACTATTATAAGCTTTACTAGCGTTCTATTATATATAGTAGTAGCTACTATATAAATAGGATATATACTTA